GTTAGAGGAGTCTCATGATCAGGTTTATAGTTTTAAAAATGACTTTTAGGCAGGGCGCAGTGACTCACGCCTGTAATCCCAGCACTTTGGGAGGCCGAGGCTGGCGGATCACGAGGTCAGGAGATCGAGACCATCCTGGCTAACACGGTGAAACCCTGTCTCTACTAAAAATACAAAAAATGAACTGGGCGCGGTGGCGGGCGCCTGTAGTTCCAGCTACATGGGAGGCTGAGGCAGGAGAATGGCGCGAACCCGGGAGACAGAGCTTGCAGTGAGCCGAGATGGCGCCACTGGACTCCAGCCTGGGCGACAGAGCGAGAGTCCAGAGCGAGACTCCGTCTCAAAAAAAAAAAAAAAAAAAAAAAAAAATTACTTTTACAATTCTGTGGAGACTAGCTTACTGAAGATGAAAACAGATAAAGGGAAACAATTTTTTAAGTTATTGCAGTGGAGTATGCAGCATGGAACAGGATGACAGTCAGATAGGTGTGAAGAAGTTGACAAACTCAGCATATATTTAGGTGGTGGAACCAACAGGACTTGCTGATGGACTGGATGTGAGGAGCAAAGGAAAAGAGATAAAAGAAAACGTTGAGGGTTTTAAGAATGAGTGTGTCATGAGCCCGCTTTAATAACATTTCTAACAAATGAAGAGTTTTGTCTATGTAAGAGGAAGTGCAAGACAGAATGAGCTAAATTAGAGAAATTAGAGCAATAAAATAGAGCAATATTATTTTAATGGATGATGTTAGGAGGCAGAGGAATGAGCTATCAAAGGAGACCAGATGTGCAACCTGCACGTGACACAGGGCCCTGACTGCAGAAGGTTCCCACACTTGGTTTATTGCTTTACCATCACTTTCTTAAAATTCTTAATACTTTTTTTTAACAAGAGGCCCTGCATTTTCATTTTGCACAGGGCCCTGCAAATTACGTAGTTGATCCTGCTAGAGAGTCATACTCAAGAATAGAAAGGGAATTTTGAGAATGGGTTAACAGTAACTAAAATGATGGCTTTTGTAGCCAAGATTTTATAACTCAGATTCAGTATACCATAGGTCACTGGAAAAGCTGAGAACTACGTTTTCACTTTCTAAAGTGTCTGTTGAGTGCTCTCTACCATAAGACTGACTGCTTCTTATTGCCTCAACCAAATTTGTTAATTTCCATGTGACCTTATATATAAACTTATATAAAAATATTCTATGCATACTTGAAATTAACTTTTTGATAAAGGGTAGAAAGTTTAACATATAAATACTAGAGTTATTACTGATATTATTTAAATTCTAATGTCCATATTTTTGTGATTTTTGATATGACAAAAAGATAGGTATTTAATATATTCCACTGTAATTTTGATTTTATCTGTTTCTTCTTGAATTTTTATTTTATTTGCAATGTTGATTCTAAGTCATTGGATGGAAAATTTCATTTGTGGTATGTCTTAAGTAAAGATTACACAGTTGATCCTTATAACATAATTATCGATGGTATTTGATAAATTTTATCCTTGAATTCTGCTTTTCTTGATATACTATATCTATCTAAAGTAATGTTATATTTTCCATTTTTTACTTGTCAATATTTCATTATTGTTTTGCTTTTGATATTTCTGTGGTATTTCTTTTGGGTATATCTTTCATAAAAAGCACATTGTTAAATTGTCTTACTATAAATTGTTTAATCAATTCACATTTATTTTCATAGCCTTTAATTTATACTTTCATAATAGTATTTAATTTTTTGTTTTTCCTTGTTTTGTTTTCTTACCCCCATTTTCTGTTATACTGGCCAAATTTTTGTAATATTTCTATTTTCTAGAGCAATTTTTTTTCTGGTTCACCTAGTTAGCATCTGCTTACCTCTCAGATGTCAATTCGAAGTTTCTTTGAATACCCCACACAACAGATTCCACCTCTCACCTTACTACCTCCTCTCATAACACCAGACACTTTCTTTTAAAGCCCCTATTATAGTTTAGAATTATATATTTGTTTGATTGTAATAGGATACTGGAACTTGTAATTGGTCAATTATTCTATAATGTCTATTAAAGCAGAAATTCATAAAGAAATGTAAATAATATTTTTTTTAATTTTAACATAAACCTGTAAATGTAGTTTTGCTTATTCTTTAATGAACACCTGTATTTTAATTCCTAAAAGAGGAACAAGAACTTCTGCACCCTAGCCAGGGAATCTGAGAGAAGAATCTGCTTTTTCAGTACTTTTACCCAATCATTTAAAGTTGTGACAGTCACACCTAATGCTACATAGCAATGATTGTTAGTGACTTTTCTTTACTGCATTTTTTATAGCATTCAAGTTAGTTTTCATCGAATAAACACTTCTCAAAGTTTTTTTCATATTTAATTGAATTACAACAATACCAAACAACCATAACATAGAAACAGATTTACAAACGAACTCAACAGACTCAGGTTTAGCGTAAATCCCCACTGGCTGCCGTGTACATTCTTGGTGGATATTGACAAGCAATGAACCGCTACTGTTCAGAGTACTATGGACATAATCCAGTAAATGTCACAGAAAGAAAAAGGTTTTTTTCATTTGCTTTTTGGTTTTATATCTTGCTAGTCATTTAACTTGAGAAAGTATAGACGAACTAGTTCATTTAGTAACTTTACTCAATAATGTATCATTGGCATGTAGGTAAATATTTAACATATAAATGATGCCCAATAAATATGTGTTGATGAATATGAGTTTTCTTCTTTCTTTTTAATCTAAAAGCCCTCTGCCTTTTTTTTTTTTTTTTTTTTTTGGCCAAGCGCGGTGGCTGTCACCTGTAATCTCAGCACTTAGGGAGGCTGAGGCAGGCAGGCAGATTACTGAATGTTAGGCATTTGAGACCACCCTGGCCAACATGGTGAAACTCAAGTCTCTACGAAAACCATAAAAATTAGCCAGGTGTGGTGGCACACACCTGTAATCTCAGCTACTCAGGAGGCTGAGACAGGAGAATCTCTTGACCCTGAGACCCTGAGAGGCAGAGGTTGCAGTGAGCTGAGATAGCACCACTGCACTCCACCCTGGGTGACAGAGCGAGACTCTGTCTCTAAATAAATAAATAAATAAATGCCACATTTTTAAATGAATGTCCTGAAATTTCATGCAAGCTTGAACATAGAGACCATAGAGACTATCGTATTATTTTCAAAATATTTTTCAAATATTGTGATTTTTATACTAATTTGTAAAAGTACCTTGATGTCTATTTCAAAATCAAAATATGAGAGAACAGTACTCAAGATCAGTTATCAGTAATTTTTTCCAATATATTTGACCCCTTTTTGCCATGGTAACCTAGTTGATCCACCTGAAATCCAAGTGGCTCCATATGACAGGGTTTTCCGTGCAGTCTTCTTTAAAATAAGCTTGCCTCCAACATACCACATACTTCCAGCCTAAGGAGGGGTACATATACCTCTCACTCTTCATTTTATTTTCATACCCTCTTTTCCTATTCTTCTCAAACCTCTTCTCTTCTCTCCCTCCTCCTGCACCTCTCTCACCATTACCTCTATGCTACTGGTCACTCTCTCTCATTTATTTACTACATGGCTCCGTGTTCTGTCCTCATCCTTCATCTGTCCAACACCCTGCCTCTTAGTTCCTAGATCCCCTACACCCCAAATTCCTTTTTTATCACTTCACATTAGCCTTCTACATGCATAGCCATATCTTCCAATAAAAGTTGCTCTTCCGATAAAATCTTCATTTGGAACAGTCCACTCTCCCAATATCACTCTCCACCATTCCAGAATACTAACTTTTATGGCCTCTCTCCTAAACTCCTTTGCCAGTAATCCTCTGGTTTTTATCCATTTTTCCTTATTCATTACCTGTTTCATGACTCCACTTCTTTTCTAGATTGATGTAGACTTTCTGTAACTAGTGTGCACTCCTTGTCAACATGCATAAATCCCTCCATGTCACCTACCTTGAGCTCTTTAATCAAAATTCCAAAATGAATTTTACCCAATCAGTGAGACATTGCTACAGAAAATCACAAATCCCTACTGACTAAATTCAGTTTATGCTTGTGATCATAAATTTCAAATGGACACTCATTTAATCCATAAATTCCTGATGCAGTCTACTGTTTACTATTTACTATGCTACCCTAAAAATTCTCTGAAAGTTTTACTATTTTCCCCCAAGTCGTATATTCAACTAATGATGTTTTCTAATATTTCATAGAAAAATGATTAAAAAAAGAATTGGTTTTATTTTCCTTTTATCAAATATTTCTACTGACTTCTTTCCACAAATAATTTGCATTCTCAAACTAAAGTAGGCTAACTGTGCATGCTTATAACTGAAGCCTGCCTGTCCCTTTGAAATACAGTTTCTATTCCTTTTGACTCATTCATTGACCTCACTCTTGAATTTATCCTCATTCTCTCCAACATCCTCATTCTCTCTTCATTGTATTACTCCCATCTACCAATGTTTTAATGTAGTTTATCTCACATTAAAATATCTCTTGACCTTGTGCCTTACATCTCCAATAGCTTGCTTTTCAGTTGTCTTTCAGAACATCTTTCACCTCTCTACTCTTGAAAGCATTCTTAGGAGGTCACCAATCACCTCTTCTTGCCATATCCATGGTATGTAGCCTGATCTTATCTTATTCTGTCATTCTCAACATTTATCACAGTTATTTACAGCCTTCTACTGAAATACTTCCTTCTCTAATTTTCTGTAACACCATCCTTCATTTTCCCTCATCTTCCAACCCTTCATTTCTTTGAATACATTCTGTATATATAAAATAAACATAAATAATATATAATACATTTCAATTGTTATACATATATATAAAATGTGATTTTTATACTAATTTGTAAAAGTACCTCAATGTCTATTTCAAAATCAAAATATGAGAGAACAGTACTCAAGATCAGTTATCAGTAACTTTTTCCAATATATTTGACCCCTTTATATATATATATATATATATATATTTATATATATATATATATATATATATATATTTCACCTGGAACTGTGATATATAGTTTTATCTATAGATATAGTTGTATATCTATAGATATATAGCTATATCACAAGGTGGAATTCTTTGACAAGCCTTTGCTTCTCTTCTCTTGGTGATTTTTTCTCAGTGATTTTTAAAAATACTATTTATAGGCTCATTAATTTTAAAATCATGTCCCCAATCCTAATCATTCCCCAGAGTTATAATGGCATCTTTAACTTAACAAAGCCATGTCAGTACACTTTATTTCCCCCTGTCACCACAAAATCTGTTTTTATCTCAGATTTTTATCTCTCAGTAAATGACAGTTGGATAGGCTTAAAGTCATTCTTGATTGCTTTCTTTCCCTCATTGCCTCCATCTCCAAACAGGTGTATCTAAATACTCCTCAAGACCTCGTATATATCTGTACATAATTTAATTCTCTATCTACAACTCTAACCCCATTGCCTTCACTTCTTAGCTGGGCTACAAGAGAACTTTCACATCAACATTCCTGCCTTCATTTATTTTCCATGCAACAGTCAGAATAATATTTTCATAGACAAATTACATCATATATCTATCCTACTTGAAAACATTCCAATAGTTTTCCACTGCCATTTACAAAAAAGAAAATGTAATGCTGTATCTGGTACTATAAAACATAATGTAATCTTCCTATTGTTCACTTTATAAATCTCTGATGTCCTCTTATACCTTTCTCCTCTTCTGTCTTGCCTCTGCACTGAAACTATACAATTTGGTTCTGTCCCTCCATCATGCCTACCTTACTCCTAAATTAATGCCTTGACCTTTTTGGTTCCTTTCTTTAGAACAGCCTTCCAAATATCATCACCTGGCACCTTCTCATCATCATGCCTCAGCTCAAAGGTCACTTGGTAAGAGATGCCTTCCTGGATCACCCTGCCCTGCTGCCACAGTTTCATTTTAGAGAGTTCACTCTGGCTTCAGCGCAGACAATGGATTTAGAGAAAGGAAGTCAGGCTAGAGGCAGGGAGCCCAAATTGGATGGCAGTTAAAATTATCCAGGTGAGGGTACTGCCAAATCGCTCACAGGAAGCACTGGTTTCAATCCGTAGATTGACTCTTCCTTTTTCAAAAACCTAGTTCTTGCATATGTCCAATATTTTTTTATCCCTCGGAGTACAGACAGTCAATAATTATTTTTCAGGTTTGGGATTTGAGGTGGGATCTATCAGATTAGATGTTAATCTCTGTTCAAATATTTCAGGATCAGACAAAAGAATAAATAACAAGTTTTAGAGTTCCTCTAGTTTCACTTGCCAGCATGGAGTAACAAGGGAGCTATAGCCAGAAAGAGCAGAGACATAGCGTTTCACCTTTCTGCCAAGTCGTTTCTTTTTGTATTTCTCAGAGCAGCAGGCATTAGCTGGGTCAGTGGCACTCTTTAGAGCTGGCACCACTCTCTTCATTTGGAGCCAGTTGTAGCACTGCCTTGTTTTATTTAAAAAGCCATACTTGCCAATGTAACCTGGGAAGCAGCACTGTGGCAGGTTGTCCCATGGAATTGACTCCAGTGTTTGGTATAAATCTGGGGGAATAATGAAATCCATTTGCACTTTCCATCAACTGCCCTTGGCTCCGGCTTCTGCTGGTGCAAAATAAAGTATGTTAGTGAGATTTTATAGTACAGTTTCCACGCCTTGTATCTAGGCAGGTTTATTCCTTCCTTGCAAAGGTTCAGTGGATGGCTAACTGTCATTTCATCATGTCCATTGTTACAGTTTATTCTGTAGAAATTTGTCAATATTTTCCCAATTTGAGTGGCACCCTAGATTTTAATATTGTTAGGGATTGTCATTGTATTATTTCTGTCATTTCAGTGGAAATTCAAAAATGAGGCAGAAAGTTTAAATATGTGAGCTCTGATTGCCATATTACATACACATGCAACCGATGTTGCAGTACCATACCCACAGGTTTGTGAAATCATGCCCTTTGTTTCTTTCTCAGCTTCTGATACCATATTGTCTTCTCTGTGGATTTTTAAAATGTTTATACTAACTGTATGGAAAGTCTTACTTTAAAAAACCTGAAATATATCACAATCTGTTATTTATATTTATCCAAAAAGTTCCGGCCTTCATTTTTGTCCAAAATAATAACAATAAAAAACAGTAAAATTAAAAGCTCCACTCTATAAAATGCCTGAAGGTACTATTATTTATCTTCTCAAAAATTTGACTTTATCTTCACCTCATTCCTGGGAGAAATGTGCCAGGTTTTTACTTAACTTTTGTTATTGTGCTATTAAGCTATGGATCACTTCAGGGGCAGTAAAATTGAAGCATCATTTTATTTTATTTTTTTGAATGTCAGATAAGTTGATTATTTCAGGTGTACCTGACACTCAACACATTAAAATAAGAATTATTTTCTGTGTTTAAATAAATAGATATACATAGACATATACAGCAATGAAGGGTGTAGGTCCTCTCATGAACCTTATTGTAAAAGTCCTTAATAAAATACAAATTTAGTTTTTTTTTCTAAAAATTAGGAGTTGACTTTTGATGATACCTCTGCACAGATCCCACTATAGAGTAAGTACTATAAAATGTTGCTCCCTTACAAAACATCATATCATGAAATTCATGACACTTGTATAAACAGTTTATGTTAAACATATTTAATGTCAAACCCAGGTGAAGCCCCTACGAAATAAATTTCAGTAAAATAGGAGACAGAGAAATGAGTTATTTTTTCATGACTCACATTATAAGCTTCATACTTTTAGTGTATAAACTGGTTTTAGCAAAAAAAAAAAAAAAAAATCTCCCCAATAAAGCAAACGTACAGACAAACAAACAAACACCTTACCATCAAACTGGGGCTTTTGAATAATCATTTATGCTGATGAAGTTTTGAATGCTCATGAGCTAATCATGCCTTTTAGCAATGAGCTTCTGCCTCTTACTATGTTTAGACACATGCTTCTTATTACAATGCCATTTCATCAAATCCCAATCTATTCTATGATCATGATAAAAATGATAATCTTCAAATTACTACGTTTCTCCTTCCACTTGAGTGAACTAATGGAAAGAATTCCATGTCTGCATTCACCACGGATACCCAGAGGAATACAAGAAAACACATGTGAAACTGAAAGAATGCCTAAATAACTGGATAGCTGCTGATCAATATACATTTTTGTATGTGTTTAATATGCTTAGTGTTCTGACTCCCTGAATATCCCCCATGTATTCAAGTAACCTAGGCTGCTTCTCATACCAGAGACAAATGTAATTTCTTTTTGATTTATTTTTAAACATATTAACTGCATTTTATTATGTGGAAGGAGTATGACTGCCAGACTAAGACAAGGCTGAATTTGCACACTTCTTGGCCATATAACTTTGGTTAAGTTACTTCACTACTATGAGCTTTCTGTTAGCAGTAAGAGAGAAGTCATTATAGCTACTGGTCTGAAGAGGAAGAAAATAAATAATATTTGCATATTCATTTGGCCCAGGCAAGAATAAAGAAACTTCCCCAGGTAGTTTATTTTCTGAGGTCATTTTAGTAAGTCCTGACAACCATAAAAAATGAACTTAAAATGATGATCTTTGTGGTTCATTGACGAAAATAATTATTCACATACAATAAGTTAATTGATTATGAAGTACATTTTTTGAAATGATGCATTGTCTTAAATATATGCTGCTTGGAAAATGATAATATTTTAAGTGTTTGATTTGCTAGTTAGACAATGCATTTTGCATTTCTTAGAGCTACTGGTTCTCTGTTACTAAGTTTTAAAACAAAAGGTAAGGACCAGTATAAAAGCCACATAAAAAGTTTGCATTGCCCTCACCCCAGCTGAGCAGTAACTTTGAATAAGGCAGTTGCATGTTAGTCATCTGGTGTGACACTAGGAATTGCAACCCATGTCCCTTGCCCCAAGCCTGACTTTTTTAAAACTAATATTTACCCCCATTAGAAATAAAATATAGACTACATTTTAAAGATCTTGAAAATTATACAATAAGTAATTAACAGAAAATTTAAACCTAGAGGCAATCATTTTAAATTGACTTTTTGATGTACTTAAATTTTCTTTAAAATTCTTTAAAATGTCAGTAAATGTCAGTATATTTTTATATACATACATTTACACACACAGTGAGAGACAGAGAGAAAGAAAGAGAGAGTTCTATCTGCTGACCTTGAAGTCTTTTCCTCTGACTCAAATATATATTTATTTTATAAAACATGAAAATATATGGGGACGGATTATGAATCTCCTGCAGATAGCCATCGCTACTATGGATTTTGCTTTCTGGTTATTGTACATACCCTCAACTGCAGAGAAATTTATTCAAACTCAGTACTTGCCAGCAGCCCCAATATTTGAATTTCCCTGGTTTTGCTCATTTGAGTGCTGGTTAAATATCTTGGATTTCTCACTGGATACACACATCTTCCTGCCATGGAAGAGATTACAAACTTCCAGTGCCATATGGACTGAAATGTTAAAATACCCATTCCCTACCTCTAATTACTTCTATGCAATAAAATAGAAATATAGCACAAAACTGTAATCATAAGGAATAGCATATTTTCAATAATGACTATTTTTGAGATTTTCAAAATAACAAATATCAAGCTTTTTTTTCAGAAAGAAGAAAATTACACACATGCTCCTCTTTTGCTGTGGACTTAAGCAACTTCTTCACAGTTAATTCAATTCGTTCTGAGGATTTGGGAACATGATAGACTTTTTCTGAGCATGCCCTGCTCTGGCTGATTTTGTTCTCTTGCCCTGGGAATACTGAATTACACGGAGCAACCAACAGAAAGAATTTTCAATCAATTGTCTCAAAAGGCTGACTGAACTGCTATTTCTTTCTCCTATTGTTGGCGTTGTCTGCTTTCTTTTAGCAAAAACTGGTTGCTCTTTCTGTGTGTATTCATTAACATTAGTCAGTCCATAACACTTGAGCATTGAAATAAAATGGTATCTGGAATTCACTCCTCTGTGAATGCAAACTGAGAACAACTGAAGAGTCTTTTTTTTTTTTTTAATCCTAGTTATCTACTCATTTAAACTAGCAGCAGAATTGACACTTTCTTCAGCAAGTCTGACTTAAATGCCTCATATACTTTGTTCCCACAATATTCCATACAAAACTCTTACTATGCCCTATTGTAACGGTCAGTTTGCCTGTTGTCTTTTTCACAGTATTGAGAAAGCCATGATGTGAGCTCTGAAGTATTCACGATTTCATTTCCAGTAGATGTTGAAATATCTGACAGAAAGAATTAGCCATTATCAAAATATAACCAAACCTTTCAAGGGAATTATTATTGTTGCTAACAAAAGGCAATTAGTCCAAATATATGGATAGTCTTCCATCACATAGGAATTACTGTGGCTTAGCATTTCTCTCTAATAGGAATTTGAACAAGCTCAGTAAAAAATAACAACAAGGATTACTTGGAGACCAGCATTCTCTTCACACTTCCTGACCCAGGCCCTAATCTCACTTCTGGCTATCACCAATCAGTTAATAAACCTCCTGCTATGAAATAAGGAAACCTTAAAAGGAAATGTCCTAACATATGGAAATTCACCACTGGCTCACCAGGAAAAAAAAAAAATAAAAAATAAAAACAGGTGGCAGGAAGAACTACCAACAGCTCTCTTTTTGATATTCATGCTGTTGCTGGATTCACAGATGATGAAATACTCCCAAGCAAAGGCTTTTAAATGGAAACAAAGTAGGTCTTGCATCCGCCCTAATTAGCAATCAGCATAAGGAAAAATAAAATCACAAATTGCCTACCTGTGCAGAAATCAATGCACATATGGCTTTTAAGATTTTGAGACTAGGGCAACCTCCTTATTTTAAGGAAGCATTCTAGAACAGTGTGCATGTGTGTGTCTGTGTGTGTAGGGGGGTGGGGGTCAAATATTATGAAAGTTACACAGAAGAAATGACTAAAGAACTAGGGAGAATTATTAATGCCAGATTAACTATTTGATTATATCGATTTAGTAAATGTAGTATGCCTTTATTACCAGTGGAAATGCATTCTGAGAAATATATTATTAAGTGATTTTGTCATTGTGTGAACATAATAGAGTGACTTACACAAACCTAGATAATATAACCTACTGCACACCTAGGCTGTATGGTATAGCCTATTGCTTCAAGGCTACAAAACTGCACAGTAAGTTACTGTACTAAACACCAAAGGCAATTTTAACACAATGGTAAGCATTTGTGTACCTAAAATTACAATATTATAATCTTACGGGACCACAGTTGTATATGTGGCCCATCATTGATGAAAGCATTGTTATGTGGCACATGATTGTAAATAACAAAACCCTTTCTTTTAATGTCAAGGTATTTTCATGAATATGCTGTACATTGAAAATCTCAAATATTATACCTCCACATAAATATTCTTTTTAATCAATAAATCAAAATTTCCCACATGTTCATAATTATTCAATTCAAAATGGCTCGCAGATACTCACATTGCAACACGACTCTATGGAACATATTTATAGTTTCTAAGTGCATTTTTACAATTGTAATTATCCTCCAAAAAAACCACTAGAGAATAGCAACCATA